AGGTCTGGAAAAAAAAATTGGCTTTTTCTTTGGTCTGTTTTTAATTAGAAGAGCTTTGGAACATTTCCACCTTTACCTGAAACACTTCAAAGAGTGTGCTACTGACAGATAGACAGATCTGAGACCAGAGGGACAGACAATATTAAATCCCAGAGCTGTTTCAACCAGGCTGATAGTATTATATAGGAGCAGCAGGAGAAGGAATATTGTCCAGATGTTATATTTTTGTATGGGAACTCTTACGTGACTCATGCAGGGGAAAGCACGTTTTTAATATTCAACTGCTATCTACTGCAGGAGGAGGGCTCCTAATTTGACAATATGTATTCTCACTGAGTATTACAGTACTGAATGTTAATACCGGTGCTCAGAAATGAAGCGGCAGGCATTTACTTTGAAGTAAGTTAGTGGATGAATTTTCTGCATGCTAGCTATTTTCTGCTCATTATCAGTGAAAGTAGGCTAAGCTACCCTGCTCTCAGACTGCCTGTCTACACTGTAAGATGAAGGAAGAGCAGCAGAGCTCAAGCTCTGGAGCTCTGACTGCCACACTGCTAACATGTACAATGAAGTTTTAACCTCATTATGATCATGAAGGAGTAGTAGATACGTGTCAAAGATGTGCAGCAGAAGAATGCTTTCAGATTATTCATGATCTATTTACAGCTCTGCACTGTCTTCTAGGATCCAAATGTGAGAGCTGAGCAAATACCTTACAGTATCAGAGATCTAATTCTAAACTGGTATTTTGGTTCAATGTTTTATTTGATTAATGTTAATTTCCCGTCAGATGATGTCAATGTCTAGCAGCATACTCAAACTGAGCACCAATTATGATGATGTCCTTTACAGAATTTTTTTATCAAGGCTATCAAAGCCCCCTTTTCAATGATGGTTAATCTTCTCAAAGAGATGAAATGTTCATTCATCAGCATGAAAAAAAGCCCCTAAGTGATAAAACTCTGCAGTTTCATGTAAACATGAACACCAAAGCTGGTTTTGAAAGTGTGTGATGGCTTTGGTAGGATAAATTATGAGATGAACAGGTGAATTCGTAGGTCATTGCTGTTATTCAGCCCCAAGTGTTGAAGCATCTGCCAGGCTTGTTCTATAGAAAAGAAAGTACCTTTTCTAGGAGTAAAGAATTATTACCTCTTGGAATAATTGCCATTTTACCTGCTGGAAATTCAAAGGATTTTGAGCTTTTGCCTCCTACTATTCAGTTGCTATTTGTGGATAGGTTCCACGCAAAAAAAAAAAAAAAAAAGCAGTTCTCATTTCTATACTTTCCCTAAGCCACATGAGTGATGTCATTTATCTCCTAATTTTTTTAGAGTATTTCTGTGTTCTCTCCTTTGCACATTTGAAACTAATTAATGGGCTAGATGTAAGATGGTGTTACCTCCCACCTGTGCAAGGTGGTGACTGTCACAGTGAATCCAGAGAAATGTCTCCTGGCCAATTATATTTTCACCACACAGCCCGGTAAAGAAAGAAAGAAACTCCAGTCAGGGAACAATAAATATCCTTACATTAACACCAGGAAAAAAAAACCCATCTAGGAATGGACCTTCTACCACCCCTTCTCAAGGAAACTGCCTTTTGAGAAAAGAATCCAGGCCCCTGGGGTTGATTTCTAGGATGACTCTGTAGCTGTAGAGTGATGGCAGCTGCTTTGTAAGAAGGAAGGGAGACCTGATAGGTCCCTTTTGGCTACTCTTACTGGAAGTACCTGAAGACCACTAGCTTGAGGTAGAGACATAAACAGAGCCTACAGAGATTAACTGCAGGGGTAGCTGTCAGTTCTGAAATGGATAACCTGTGTTATAGATGACTTGTATTATGTCAATTGTTTCCAAGTGGATATTAAAGTATTTCTGAAAAGATCTAATTTAATTCAGAGTGGTTGCTGGAGATGAAAAAAAGATAAGGAGAACATTTCCCTTACCTCCCTGACACTTTCTCAAGAGCAGCTCTTGCCTGACCTTGGTGTTTCTGTGCTCAATCATATATCCCATTTAGAAACTCTCACATTATTTCTGTTTACCAGAATGATACTTTTACAAAAAGTAGTGTTTAATTACGTGGAGCTAATTCTTTATAAATGCATATTACAACCAAAGAAATACTCCACTTTTAGTAATAAAGTACGGACTATGACAGTACAGGTCTCCAAAAAGGATGTGAAGACAAACCTGAGTATTGCATCCAGTGAAATTTTCCACTTAATAGAAAAGTCAAACCTTTGCTCTATTCTACCTTAGTAATGAGCCTCAAGCTCCAGCCTAAATGAAAATGTAGATTCCTGTCACGTTGTCTAATTTTTGGTTTTTTTTTCCTCTTTACAGCTGGTCATCCAGATAGCCAGCTTTCCCCTCTTGTCTTGTCTGTATCAGCCATTAAAGCCTATCTAAAAAACAGATTAAAGAACTTCCTTGAAACATTAACATTACCTTTCTATAATTTTTATAAAATCCTGCATTTCTCTAGAGCTATTATTTTTGTTACTACACATGCATGTAAAACAGGATTTTTCAGTCTTTGTGTCTTTCAGCTTTATTTCACACCTCAAATCATAATCCATTTTACCTGAGTAAGAATTATATACTAAATGCCTTTATCTTCAGTTTCCCAGAAGGCTAAAATTATTTTACATCAGTGTTCTCCAAGCCAGTGAATAACTGCACTTTTTAAAAAATTATTTCAAGAAAGCAGAAAACACCTCAACTTAAAGAAGAAATTCTCCTTGTTTACAACTGCAATTCAATTATTTTTTGTTGTTGTTGTTTCTGATTTGACCCTCCTGCTGTTATGAATGGTTATGAGGCAACCAACTTTTATTAACCAACTATATTGTTGCAACACCTAGAGCAGAAAGTGATGTTGCATTGTGGTAGGTGTTGTACAAGGGATCATTTCTGTTGGGTAGCAAAAAACCTATCTATCACAGCAAGAGCATCTGTGGCAGAAGCTGGTCCTATGCAAATAACACTAATAAAAATGGAAATAAGACAGACAGAAGATCAGTTTCTTAGTAAGATTGTTCCAGAGTGCTTTTCAAAAACCCATCTGTCTTTAAAAATAGGGTCTTGCGTTCATTTTTTGATGACAAATGAGAATTGCATAGTATGGGAACAACAGAAACTGAATGCAGCTGATGCCAGACTAGCAGTGAAATGGGAGTCTACTCCCATATTGCCCATTTAGAGAATGTAATTGCAGGTGGGTACAAATTGTAATTTGATCTATGTGTCCTGATCTTCTACTGGTTTTAATCCCTCTGGGCCACTAAAATATGCCTACTCAGTATGATGGGACAATTAGAAGCTTTAACGATACCGAATTCTGTGTCTACTTTGCCCTTCAAACTGCTGCCCTTGGGTAACCGTGTTAACTCTGCTCTTCTCTCATCCAGCATCATTCTGAGAGCTGCACAGTGAAGTTTATCAGTAGACATGGTCAGTTGCACAACAATTTTACATCAGGAAATCCATCTCTCTGCAAAGAAGTTCGATTTTTCTTTGGTAGAAAGAATAAAAGGCTTTTTTTGTGTGTTTCTTTTGTTTGTTACTGATATGTTCTTTTGCTTATTGTTCTTTTGTCTTTTTTGCAAAGACAGTAACATAAGCAGAGAGGAAAAAGCAAAAGAATCATATTTGCAAAGTGCTAATATAATCCCATGCTATTAGAAAAATTAAGTATTCAATGCCAGGAACGCCATTCCTTTCCTGCAGAGCTATTTCAGCTTCTGAAGGCTCTGCCTGAGGTCTCTGTCTCCTCACTTTGAATTAATGTATGAAGACGCCATGAGCCTGTCTGAGTCAGACAGTCAGCTCCAGTCCAATTGCTCTAATGAAGTGCAATGAGGTGGGAATGCATCCTGTTTCCAAATATTGACCAAAATCAGACTGCATCATCTTTTGTACTCTCAACAGAACTGACTTGGAGAATACCAGAAAACAGCTCATGACTCTTTTGATGACCAAACATTTTAAAGGATTTTCATTTCCTGTTTCACAGAAGTTCAACATGTTAACTTTTAAAAACAAAACAGTGTATCTTCAAAAAGGCACATTAGCTGTGTGGTCAAATACTTTTCCACTTCAAAAATCAGTGCGTGGGATTCACACATAAACATCTTATACCAGTAAAAAAAGAAAAATTTACAATTTTCTGGGTTAAACCCTCACTGCAATTTAAGCAACCTCATCTCTGTACAAAGTGCTTAGAAGAAATAACATTAATACTCCTTCATCTCAGAAAAGGGAGGGAAAAGCCCTCCTCACAAGTTGTAAATGTTGGGAATAATTGATTCTTGAAGTGAGTAAACCTTGATATTCATGTAAGATGTCAGTAGCAGAAAAATTAAGCAATAGCATGTAGGATGGCCTAAAAATGAGTCCAAAGCAGTTTCAGATGCATCTGTATTGCCTCTTGAGTTCATCTGGGCAGCTCTCCAGGAAGCTGCTGCACTGGGAAATAACCATGAGGTCCATAAAAGGGATAGAAAATATCCAGATGAGATGTTAGAGACTTCCAAAGGACCTCATTGGTGGGCCTTACTGTGAGAGGGTGGTGATTTTGCTGAGTGCTAAGGGACAGTTATGCCACAGGAGGATGTACTGGGATAAGAAAGCTGTCTGCATGGATAAAGGCACTGTACAAACTTCACAGTGAGTAACAATATTCAAAATAACTTCAATATCTCCTTGTAGAAGCAGTGGTCTCAGTAATTTCCTTGTATTGCCTCCACCTGTCATTGAGAGGGTAATGAAACTTCACAAACATGGTGTTGCCTCTCTTTGCCCATATTTTTTTTTTTTTTCAATGCACGGCAGACAATCACTAATTTGTGTGCTCATCAGCCTATGTTATCAGGTGAACATAACCCCTCCTTTAGGTATGACTCCAGTGTAGCCACTTTCTGGTCGAGAATGACACGTCCAGCAAGTGTCCTACTGGACACACATCACTGTCCCAGGTATAAAATGAAATCTTACCTATAACTTTTCCTAGGAAGAGTGCCTTTGGGGAATTGAACTGAATGTCAGATGTGGCTGGCAGGCTGTAACTTGTTGGAGGATAGTGATCAAGCTGGAGAAAGAGAAAAGAAATCATGAGTATTTTGAACTGATCTGCTTATTACAGTGCTACTGAATCAGGTCTACCTTATGGAGTTTATGCCATCACTTACACCTCTGTTTGATACACTCTGTTTTCATTTTGATAAAGAAAAATTGACAGTAAATACCCTTTCTTCATTATCTGCCATCTCCACAGATCCCAAGACCTAAAGAATACCGGTATTGGAATTTTTTTTTTTTTCTGATTGATGTAGAATCACATCAGTTTTGCTCGTGTGCTTCAACGTAATTGCTAAAAATAGCAACAGCATCAAAAATAAAACAAATTACTATTTCCATAGAAACAGATTTCCATTTGGGACCTATGTTACTGCTAATTCCAGATTTAAACAGCTGGGAATTCGAGACTAGGCATTCTCCTTTTCTTTCAGAAAAGTCATAAATTAATAAGATATGCTTTTTGGCACTTCATGTTTGTTATTTTCTTGTTGAAAATATTGTGCTATTCGATGGTGATGACACCTACTGAAACCTAAAAAATAAATTCAAGAGTAATCAACTTAGCTAAATAGTTTATAGGAAACACGTATTGTCCCCGATATGACACATTACATTAGCATTATTTCCCCCTGGTTTTTAGCTATTTAACAAAAAAATAGGAAGAAAGAGAGTAATAAAATGAATTGCCTATGCTTAGAAATAGTGCTATTAAGATAGTTTAATATAGATTAATAGAGTTTTGATGTTCATATTTCATAAAGGTAATCGGGGTGAATTTTTACCTTTGCTGTTGTTATTTATTTTCTCAGGTTTATGTGTTTATTACACAGGCTTAAATAGGACATAACAACAATTGTTTATTTTATTCTGGCCTTACCTTGCCACAAAACAGGAGAGAAACTCATATATGTGATTTAAGACTTTGCAGAGTACCATAGACTGCAGAAGTAATTCTGGAGGAATGGCAACAGTAAAGGACATACAGTATTTTCACATATTTTTTTGCCATATTTCTAATTTAAAAATGTTATTACTGTGGATTATTTTTCTTTAATGGTACTGCAAATGCTCAGTTCAGTGGTTAAAAGTAAATGAATGGCAGCAGAGAAAAGAAGGAAGGGCTGAATCTCATGCTACCCTGGAACACTGTGAGCTCAGGGACTTGAAAAGCCTCCCAGGGTCATGAGTCTGCAGAGGCAATAATCTCAAAGCCCTATAATAACTGGGGAAGAGGGGTCCTCTGTTTCTTGTAATGCCCCATAAAATTACAAGAGAGGTGTATATACATAGTACACAGAGAAGAAAAATAGTCTCTGCAGATCACAAAAGAGATCTAGCAAGTTGTCTTGTTCATAATTGATTTCTAATTGATCAAACTAGTATTCATACTGATTATTTTGAGTTAAATACGTTCAAAATCGTATTTCCATATTCTTACTCAGAAACTAAGAAGTTTCCATTTGTTCAGAGTATCTTCAACAGTTTTCCTCATACTTTCAATAAACAGCAAAAATACGTTTTACCTGAAATTAGAGTTATATAAATTCAAATTGAAGAGAACTATTTTTGAAAGGGTGTAGTCAAGTGAATACAAAGAGTTAAAATACAAAACAGATCTCAACCTTAACCATAGCTAATTCCACTAAGTACAGACTCCAGTTAATGCTCACTATTGGCTTGCCTGGTGGAAGGGAAATATGTGTTCCAGCATCCAACATTACAAGTGTCAGATCCACTGTCAATGGGAACTGCAGGCATATCAGATGAAAAAAATATTCCTCTCTTATTTCATAAAACAAATAGAAATGGCTCATATCTGTCATGGTATTTACCTTTAAGGTCATTAAATGAAAGGTGTGGGCTTTAGAAAGCTGTATCAGGAAAAGACTGGTGAAAACTTTAACCTTTGCATGTGGTGGAATTATTTCTGATACATACACAGGATTCATCTCCTAGGTTTTCCTTTTATAAATATGACTTAAAATAAGCTGAAGTAACTCATAAAATAATCTGGTATATTACCACATACATTGGTATCTATCAGCATCACCAATATTCATGTTCTTCCATTTTCAAAATCAGCCTGGAGCAATGTTTAATATTTCTTTTTGTTGTGATTTGGAATCTGAGCAGTGGTGTTGATCAGATGATCATAATTCTGATAAAATAAGAATAAATTACAATAATAATTATCAATCTATGATCTAATTTATCAGTGCATTGTGGGTATCCTAAATCTGTCCAGGTGTTACTCCATTAGAGTAACTATTAACAAGTAATAAAAAATCATCCCTGCCTACTGTACAGGCTGCCTATACCCGAGTACACTAATTGTCTGCAGGACACACATCAAAATGAAAAGTCAATTTAAACGATGAACCTATGTGAGCATTCACGGGACAAATATAGAATATCAAAGCCTGCCAGCTGTGGTGTGATGAAACTCCCTTTGTCTTCAGTTAGTGTTCAGGATGTGGAAAGGCCCTAATTTTCCTCACCTTGGAACAGGTTAGTCAGCAGTAATTTTGGCCAGATTAAAATAATAATAATAAAAAAGTTCTTCTAGTGACCTCGTTTCCTCTTGGGACTTCACCACAGCAGAGCATTCCATCACGGTGCAGAGGCAGAAAATCCTGCAGCAGGAATCAGGGATTGTAAGAACAAGACTAATGCTGTGCTACATTGCCGGCTCTAACAGGTACAGCCACTTTACTGCAAAGGTTTATTTGTTTAAACTGATCTCGTGTACTGAATGAATAATTGAATCTATCCACTCACACGTATTTTCCAGATCTCACTGAAGCCAAAGAAAGATTTTAAATGGGTTCAGCTGTGGGCTGTTTTCAAGGTTTAATGACTGAAGTTTTAGGTTGTTTTTGGTTCCTGGTTAAAATAAATCTCTATTTAAAAACTGTTTATGCTGATTTTCTGGGGCAAGCATTTGTGATCAGTGACAGAGGTAGGTTCTGCTCTGGCATTTTTTTCCTCCATTTCGTAGAGGACACCTGTGTTGCTTTCCACAGCCAGCTTTGGGCTACACCCGTCTCTAATCCTGGCACCTGGAACGAAATGGTGCACCACAAGACAACAACAGCCAGGGAATAGTGAAATTTCTGTCCTCTCACTTTTATTGCTTGTCTTTGTATTAAACTAGCATTATCTAACAAAAGAAATTTTTTTTTTCCCCTAGAGGCACTGAAACCACGGTTTCTTCACAGGGCTGTGAGTTAAAGTACTATGCTGAATTCCTTCCAAAGTTGTATGTGACTGCCATCCAGTGGGTGCTCTAGTGTAAGCAGCTGGAACAGACCATCTGCAGTCTCAGTATGAAATACAAGCCTATCAGTTCAATATAAGGCACATAATAAAAAAGGAATTACTAGTGTCAAATGACATTTGAAAAAAGTTATTACATTATTTAATGAAAATTAAATAGAACCTCTGCATACGCAGACTTTGGTGTCATGAATTTGTATTAAATTACAGTTTTAAAATTATATTTAAGATTTTTCATTACAGCTACTTTTCTTTAAAAACTAATTAATTTCATTTGAGCTTAATATAACTACACAGTGTGGCTTTGAGTGTCACACAGATGAAAGTGGGTGGCAGTTTCTGAGGAACTTGCAGTTTCAGTTCTCAAGTCACATCACACCAAGGCAGACTGCCTTCATCTGAAGTTGCTTGGATTTAAGCAAAAAGTTCAGTAAAATGTTATTTCTTTTAAATTACTGTTCACTTAGACAATGAAACTAATCTTGACATGCATTCTGAGATGAACGAACATACCAATCCAAGTGCAAACACAAGGCCTACATCACCTTAGGAGTCTTGGGGAAAAAAAAGGTATCTACACATATGCATACATTATATTCACCCCGTGGATATATCTACATCTGTATCATTTTCAATCCAGTCTGTGTGTGTGCACTGCTATAAAGTTTAGAGTTTTCTTTATGCTGAAGACACTTTACAAAAAAATATTGTCAAAGTCAAATGGAATAACATGCTGTAAGGCATAATATCACACCATCTGAAGTCAATACAGTTTTGCTATTGACTTCAGTAATAGTAGGATAAAGAATCTGATGTGTAATCATCATGATCAATGTTAGTATTTCTCTTTTGTATTATTATGATGATTTATGACTTGCTTGAAAAAGCTTCTCAAGTCCTGGACAAGGGCTTTTTCTGCTAAGTTCTACAGTAATGCATAACAAAAAGAAGGTTTCTGCTCAAAAATGCCTACAATGTTAGAATAGACTCAGCATGAAAATAATAACCAAACAGGTGATTAGATTGAGCTCCTCCCAAGTACCCAAGCAGTATAGCACAGTAGGAGAAAGCAGGAAGCTGATTTTGAAAATCAAATTGGACATATTACAGCTTTGTATTGGTGAAATATAGATGACTATTTCCCTCCCAAAAGGTTAGGGAAAAACCCTTACAAACAACATTTCAATATTTTCATTATTGTGATTATATTTATTTGTTTATTTTTTCAGTACAAAAGAAAAGGAGTAGATTTGACTGGTGATTGTGTAATTCCTTAGGTTGATCATGGCTACTGGCACTGCAATTCAGCTCCTTCCTTAGTGTGGCACTAGTGCTCTGCTGATCTTTTCCTGCCGGGTTAGGTCCTTGACCCAGGACACTGTGGATCAGATCAGAGCTGGAGCAGGGACACGCCATAGACTGTAAATGAATAGTGGATCCAGAGAAATAGGCAGGGCCATAAACCCAGAATTTTTTACTGCCTTAGACTCTCAGACTTGCAGCCTCACTGCTCGTGTGGAACACAGAAGGAGGCACATACCTCACCAGCATAATGTAAGGCAAACTAAAGCTCTGCGTTGTGCTTTGAGCTCTTCAGATGAAATGTCTATAGAGGTATAGTCAATATTGTTTTAGGAATCACTCCAAATCTGTTTTGTTGGTTTAATGCATTGATTTAGCCTTTTGGAGGTTTTTTTTCCCTTAAATAAAGATCAATCACAGCATTTTATGATA